TTCAATGAGAAACACACAGTATAAATATTTACATTTGAATTTTGTTTATGATTTTAATTGAGTTTGTTTGCTCTAAAATCATTTATTGCAATAATGTATGTAGCACTTTATATTTTATAAACATTTGCTAATTATCATAGCATAATACAATTTATATTTATAATCAAAATATTGCTTATGATTACAAATTTATTCCTCTCATATTTTATTTATAGTGCAAATTTATGTACGCGATCATATTTCTCTTGTCACATTTATTAGTTTAAATTATTTAAATTTTCATAATTATATAGAGTCAGAATATTTTAAGTTTAAAAAAATCAGTTTACAATATGTAATCTATACGTTGAAATTGGGCCATTATTATACATAAAATGTGCATTTATATTGTAAAACAAAATACAATTATACGATTGAAAATCTCTATGTAGCTAATTTAAAACTATTTAATATTCCTGTTAAAAAGCTGGTAGAAGTTAATAAGGAGCAAATTCAATCAATTAGATAATAAAGTTAATAGATATCGTACATTCCGTGAGGAATCTTTCCAATCAAAGTTTCCCATCAATAAACACAATAACAATGGTTGAATGCACTGAAAATAACACGACCGGAGGCATTCTAACTTACCAACCTATAAATAAAACCAGTCCGCGTAAAGCGAAATAATTATAAAATTCCCCATAATACGTATAAGGTCAACGCAGTCATTCTCGAAAATTTACATACGAATATTAGCTACAGTAAGACAATCTATTTGATGAAATTGATTGTGAGTAGGTGCACCTGTTTTTTACATGGACTTCTGTAGAAATGAGCATTGGGAGGGGCCTAAGACTTGGTACAATCATTGTCCAATCAGCTTGGAAAACTTAGTGCCGGTAATGTCAGGTTTCAATGCATAATGTGCATATAATGTTGGCCTTATCTGATATGCGAGAATCTACCTGAACTTGTCTCGCTCTATTTCAGGACCGTTTTTCGTTGTATTGATTATTTTTAAGCAACTGCAAAATATCAATTTTATTTTACGATTAACAATATCTAACTGTAGATGGCAAGTTATATGAAGAAAAAATCATAGTAAAAGTAATATGTAAATATTCAGTTATACTTGTAAAATATATAACAGCATAGATGACAGTATTTAGAGGCTACTGTATCAATTTGGCAATTTTTTGGGGAAAATTAGAGAAAAAATGCTTATAAGGACCAATAGTGAACCTCTCACTGGAAAAACAGGAGTGAGGTTACGTGCATTGGAAAGAAATTTTGGTTATCACTTAAATGTTAGTAAACTGAAGACAAAAATATTAAAATAACTACAAACTTTAGAGACCTTGGGACTTATCGGATAAGGTTCTTAAAGATCTCCAAACTTCAAGCATAAATGCTTGCACCCTCATTACATGATAGGATGGAAATTTTTGTGTTATTAATTGATGTTTTAGAAGGATATTTGTACATTATGCATACGTAATAAATTAAAATAATATGCCTATTTTAACATTGTGGCAGAAATTTGTTAAATAGCGCCTTCTACAGCTTTTCTGAATTATCCTGGAGCCGCTTCTGCTTTACTTTGTTATTCTCAAGATGGAAGCCGTCTATACATGATTAATACATGTTTTAACTTGGTGTAGCTTTGAGTATGCGTGCCGATTAGAATTGGTTTGCGGGGTGGTCTCTGCCTTTCATAACTTTTCAGCATGGCGCTAATAAATAGTTGACCCTAACAATTTTTAGCGCATGTTTAAAGTATGAAATTCAGGAATTTTGAAAAATTAAAAACAATTTTATGTATAAGTACAAGTATTGGAATAAATATTTTGCCTTCATCTAAAAAATACTATATTAACCAATAACCAAAAATAGAATTAATTTTGTAAAATCCGGAAGGATAATACAGATTTTTTTACTATTTGTATAGTGATTCAAATAGAACAAGTAAAGTAGAACATTGAAGCTCTACATCAGGCAAATTTAGGTAGAAGGTTCTACTTTAAGTAGTCCACTTTTTAAACTTAGTTTCTTTGAAATATAACGAATTTATTAAAATTCGGTTACACAACGGCCCAATAAAATTAATGAACCATTGGTCTCTTGAAAGCGACATTTTCCCATTCAATCTATTTGGCTATGTTATGTATATTTTTTTTTAATCCAGACGTAGTATAAGGTTAGCAGTCATTGATGCCGATCGCTATTGAACATTCGAACATTGATTAATAAACTTTTTTAATGAATGTTATAATTAGTTAGCGTATCTAAACGCAAGTCAAGTTAATGTTCTTCTTCTTCAGCCTTCGGTTTCTCCGTGGGGTGCCGAAAGTCAGTGGTGGTCGATTTTGTAGGTGTAAAATGCTTATTGTATAGGTACTCTATGCCAAATTAAAGAAGCACAATCAGTCTTTTTTGACTATTTTTTATGTCGTTAAGGAGGTCTTTTAATTACTTTTACTAATATTAAGGAGGCATACCTACCTAAAATTTTTTATTGGTATAGTTAATTGTCTTGTATTCTTCTATAGTTTTTCATAGGACGAGATTAATTAGCACTCTTAAAATTAATGAACAATTATATTAAAAAAGCTAGAATTACCTCCTGCACACTGTAATGAATTTTTGAATATTTTGGCTATTTATCAAATTATCCTACTACTCTAACATATTTACTTCGCTTATATAATTGTTGCTCATTAATTAATTAATATCGGCGCCTCTGATTACCTTATACCTACCTACGTACCTACAGTTCTTTCTTCTTTAGAGACAGATCTTTAAACTTTTAATTGAAAATTGGGAATCCGTCGAGGAATTTCTGCAAGCATAATTAACCTGCTATTAGTCTCTCCAATACCAGCATGGACTTTTAATCTTTTTCTATGACGCGGTCGCTGTAACCCGTAAGGAGAGGTCGATAGGGTTATTTATTAACGTTGGTTGGCGAACGGGAAAATTGTTCTTATAGACATTTAATATCTCAATAATTCAAATAATCCGCTGTAATTCCGCTGTAATTCCGCTATACTTTTAAGACATATTAAAATATTATTGAATTAACAAAATGAACTAAAACCACCTCATGGTGATGCAAATTTTAAATAATTTGTCTAAAAATTTTACCCAAAAAGTTTTTTTTATAGCAAAAGGAGTATTCTAAAATGGAGTTCTAACCAAACAGTTGTCACCGCAAGTACTTAACGAGTTTTTATTATCAAGATAATTGGATGTATAATTACGTTCTAGCAACGCCTACTGATATTTATTTTGTATTGCACCGCCTACTGCTTGATATTGTGTGCAACTCCTTGCATTGTCGTTTGTTTACTGGGTGGGACTCGCTCGGAGTGCAATTTTTTTTCTTTGAATGCAATTCAGTATTTATTGTGTCCTTAAGATGTATTGCCTCGACGTGGGGCAAGTAAAAATTCCATTTATTATTATGCTTTTATGTAAAGAGTCAATATATTTGAGAAAAATTAACACGTGGGCCGCCACTTCGATTAATTAAACAAAGAATACACAATGTCGATCGTATTGCGTTATCTGGAATAGCATCATTTTAATGTTGTAAATACTGGTTTAAAATTAATCAGTTTCTCTTTTATAAAGTGCAATTTCCACAATTTTTATGTGAATGCAAATTGAGAACAGAAAGTATACCTGCGAATAAAGGAGTAATATCAAATTTTTGTTATGCTTGTAAACCGCAAAGAATTCCAATTAACGCAAGCTGAAGTAATATGCACGTAGAATTTTTTAGATTGATCTATACCCGTTTCTGTTTCCCTCTTTAACATTTTGGGATAAAAATTTCCTATAATCGAAAGCAGAAAAAATACAGTCTTCACTCGAATAGATTACAGGTTTGAATATCACCTCCGGGTACGAATCGATACAGTCCGGTCCATTTACATATTTATGAGGAACCAAAGTTTTACTTAGATAAAACATGCTGATTTTTGATTTGTTGCACTTTGCACGACTTTTTGTGAATTATGGAAACGTTCGGTAGAAAAATTTAAATAATTATTTGTTGCATGTATAAAAGTTCTTTCAGTAAAAATTGCAGCATTTAAACTGCATTTATGAATACATCTAGGTTTAGATTGAAAATTATTTTTTATTTTTACCCAAAAAATTATGAAAATTTAATTAATAAACTCAAACTATAAACCAATGTTATAAATATTTCTGTGAGAAATATATAATTTTACTAAAGATTTAATTACCTAATAATAAAATAATGAAAATCATTATTGGATATAATATTCTTTCTTATCTCAGAAAATATTAATTTATTATGACTTCGTTCTTTATCATATTTATACATGTAAATATATGTTACTAAAGATTTAATTACCTAATAATAAAATAATGAAAATCATTATTGGATATAATATTCTTTCTTATCTCAGAAAATATTAATTTATTATGACTTCGTTCTTTATCATATTTATACATGTAAATATATGTTTGTACTCTAGTGATGGGAATAATATTCCACTCTAATAATATGCCTACCATTTCTTAATATTAAAGGAAGTGAGAAATAAAATCCAAGTTCGGAAAGGAAATAAACCATAAAATCATGGAAACTCTATTTGTTTAATACAGTAGCAGAGTATAAGAGACAATAGGTGGTTTATTGATACAGCCGGCTTGTAATTTTGTTTTCTTTTGGGGTTAAATAAAAAGAAACTATACATTCTTTTAAAATACCTTACAGATTATTGTGTTTACTAAACTTATATTCATCTACCTATAGGTACATGGGAATAATTCGCCTTAGTTCCTTACTAAGAAAATTTTCTGTATGTTATAGGTATACGCTTTTATTAAACCCTTTCCTCTGACTTTTTACCTTTATCAAATTGAAATATCAATCATTTGTATGTACCAAATGTAGTTTTTTATAGATACCTATACTAAGTTATTCAATAAATATATAAAAAAAGTCCCGTCCTAATTTTTGTCTAATGTTCATTTTGTTTCAGCGCTTGTACAAAAAAGATTGCGAAAAGAAAGAAGAACTCGAAGACAGCTACAGGAACAAATTGATATAGAAAACAAGCGAAGGACTCAATTGGAAGATGCTCTCAGATCAGCTGGAGCATTAGAGCAGATTAATAAAATAAATGGTAAGGAAAACTATTTCTTTATTTATTTTCTTATTACCAGTATTTATTTTTATTCTTCTTTTGAATATTTTAATATTGTTATTTGTTATTATATCGTATATCCTATGCCTACCTATTTTATCTTTCTTCGTTCAGAATTGTAAAAGTGAAACAAAAAAAATATCAGAAATTCCTCCCCATTTTTACAAAGTATCACGTGCAATTTTCGCAACCTGCAGCAATTTTCTTCGTATTATTTTTTTAAATTGGCTCCGTCTCAATATGTTACGAACCACAAGAACGCCGTTTATTACAGGAATAATACGAAAAATCCCGTAGTAACCATTTTACAATAATTCTTACTTATTAAATCGTTCATTTTATTTATTCGTTCCCCTCGGCTTTCCTTTCGAAAAACCGCCGTAATAAATGTGTTTGCAAACACTTATTCACGCAATAAGAACAACCAATCGAAAGCCACAAACAGCAACAAACCATTTTCATTGTATATTTTAAACTAAAATTACAGGTAATTGCAGACCGAACTGCGAGTTTCCATTGGTTGCAGGAATTCATATGGGTGCAATAATACAGTAAATACACTACTTATTTCGGCTCCACCCAAGTTTGTGCCATAACTCGCTAGTGTGTAAGTTTCATATTAGTTCGATGTGCCGACGCCGTTACTCGAGACTCGATTCCTTGTTCATTTCGCATACGTGAATGTTATGAAACGCCGTTTGCACCGCAAAATAATATACCTTCCATATCTACATATAATTCGAAATTAATTACCTATTAAATAATTACATATTTTACATTAACATTTAATTTCTGATTTAACTTTATTGTTGTTATTACATAAAAATTATGTACCTACCTATTTCAATAATTGGGTATTTTTGCAATCGGAATCGTATCTAATCGTTTGTTAAAAATGCCTACATTTATGTACCTATGTATCATGTATGTACTGTACATAGGCCATTTTATACGAATTTCATGATTAACTTATTTTCTTTATTTAGTTCTTATTATAATGTTGCGGGCCATTTTTAAAACAAGGTTTATATTTAAATATAGGTACTCAATAGGCACTAATATTTTTTCTAAATTTGATCCAATGCAAACTTAATAAAGCAACTATACTCTATTACTACTTTCGTTTTAGGCATCAATTTTTAGAATAACCAAGAGTATATTGTATTTAAAATTTTGCTTATTAATACTCGTTATTACATAGGTACATTTTAATCAGTTTTTTCATTAGAACATTAATGAACATTATTATGAAAAATATGGAACCAAACGACGTTCTTTTACGCACATTACAAAGTCGGTGTATAATTTTTTGTCGGTGGTCTCTGGTACCTTATCGGCCTTCGAACCTTATAAGTTCAGCATGGCATATCGGATGCAACCCTAAGGCTGAAATTAGCCCACATACCATATACCTAATATTATTGTTTCTCAAGTTTATTATTTACTAAATATAACATTCAGCGTCGGATACGGAGCAGTTGAATGTTCTTAATGGGTAGACAAGGCAAATATCTTGTAATCTGCAGGGATCAATCCAGGAAAGTTGGAACCCCGGAGGGCATCAAAGACTTCTCTTGCCCTTATGAGAGTTTTGTGATTGACAGGCCCCCCTCTTAGCGCGACTATAACCATCTAGTACAGACCCTTAGGTCTTGGGATCGTTTACACATTTATTCGGGGCCTGCTTGACACTTTGTCTGTATTTGATTGATTTTCCATTAGTTTCTTTCACTATAATTATTAAACTCCTTCATTGCAAACAAAGTTATACCAATTACAGTATATTCAAATTTTTATTTCCAGAAAAACTGTCGCAATTAGAGCAAACTCCCAGCAACCACCAGCCGGTGACCAGCAGCTCGTCTTCGGTGGTCAATCCGCAGAATTCGTCGCCCGCATCGTCCGATCGCCCGGAACGAACGGTCGAACGTCCGGACCGTTTAACCGACCGCATTTCCGAACAACGTCCCGTCGACAGGATAAAGCAGGAACGAGAGGACCCGCCGAATTCGGGCTACGGTCATTCGACGGTCAGAGAAGTCAGAGACGCTCCTCAGCAGCCTCCGATGCCCCAGGAGAGCAAACCTTGGACTTACGCCGGTATCGAATTGATGAACACTGGCGCTGCCTTTTGGCAGAATTATTCCGGTAAGTTAATTCTTGAAGAATATTCTCTTTATTTCTTTCCAAAGGTCATACCTAATTTATTAGAGAAAAAAATCTTTAAAATTTTTTACATAACGAATAATTATTTTTTTAACCAATATTACGGCTTTCGACTCATCGTATGAATCCTCTGTAGTAAGTTTTTTTCTTGTACAACAAAAGGTAATTAATTAATGCGCATCCTGTATCAGGCCTGAGGAGTCGTTAACTTCGCTTCCAATTAGATATGAAACACTTTCAACATATAGTTTTTTCCGAGTCCATTCGACTGTAAAGGTAGTGTGAATACGCATTTCGAATTGATTTCGACCATCAGCGAGCAGATGCGAGAGCGTCCGTTAACATAAATAAAATTTTAATCATTCCATTTCAGAGGTAATTGGAACGAATTATTTTCTTATATAATTAATAAGGAATATTTATAAGCAAAAGACTAAAATTTATTGACAGATAATTCTACTTTTTCTTTATCTCTTAATTTATTTTTGGGTCACCTTGTATAAGCTTCCTCGGAATATACTTTCGACATACACAATCAAAATGGCTATTCATTCAAGCATTTAATTTCGAAATTAAACGCCTATTAATGAATAAAAACAGGCAATATCGTTGGTGGCACGATGATGAAATAACTCAAATATTTCAATGGATTTCAATTTACAAGTTAATCCCTTAGCACTCCGCTTAGTCGGGTATGTGGACTCAAAGATGAAAAAAGCCCTGTATCGGGTATATACAGGGTGAATGTTTATACTTGCAAAAATCATTTTGATTTTCAAAAAGTTATAGTTATTATACCTACTATTATACACATTTAAGATTATAACATAAAGTTGTCTGATAAAGAGTAATGTAAGTACCTATCTAATAATATTTAGCATTTTGTTTTAGTACCTCTATTAGAAACATGTTTCAATTTCCATTTACATCTAGTTATTGAAACCATCAAATCTGTTGATCATCGAATCCTCCATTAACTCGTAGACAAATTAATATATTTCCAATTAGTTCTGCAATAACCCAAATTAAGTTCCTTTCATAGGAATATTCCATATTCTTCGCTATCCTCGATACAATTAAATCCTTAATAGTCTAGAATTCACGGCAAGTCGCTATTAAAAACACAAATGGATCTCTTTCACGGTTGAAACAACTTGCAGCAAATGCTGCTACTGGAATTGAACCTCCTTTGTTAATTCAACGACCGTTATTTTGTTTTGGTGATATCGAGGGCAGGTAGCAAGAAAAAGAAATCAGTGGAAATACAAGAGACAGGAATTCTATAACAGTTAATGGAAAAGTGGGTGCATTGGGTGTGTTTCCTTTTTCATCTATACATAATAGAAAAAAATGATTTTTGAGATAATTAAATAAATACAATGTTTATTTTTCGTTACGTTATTTTTGTCAATTTTCCTTCGACGTATTTAATCTTTCTCCGTAAATCAGGCATTAAAAAACTTAGCAATTTGCTCGACGCACAAAAGCCCTTAAGTAATACTGAAATATTGCTTATTGAACCCCGGAGAATCGTAATCATCAAACCGAACTAACCTCTTCCCAAGCCTTTCCGTCTCTCGACTGCGCGCGTTTTCCCTTTTTTGAGGCCAAAGGCGAAACGATTTACATTTAGATATTATTAGAGAGTAGAAAAGCGATTCTGTGTGTGTGTGAAATGAGACACATCGATTCTATGACTACAAAGTGAAGTCATTTTACTGTAACTAAATAAATGGAAAATCCCGCGTTTTAGTTCCCCCCGAAAGGAACCGGCGCGATATTCTAATGTTTTAAAAGCGCTGTATGAAAATTTCATTATGGTCTTTAAGAGGGACGACGTAGCGAACGCAAACTAGGCACAACACTTCGTAAATTAGTAGATATCTTAAAATACCTACAGTAAAGTAAAAGTAATTTAATAGTGATAAGTACCTAATTTGATTTTTTCTCGCTAAAAAATACGAGTATTTGAATCTTATATAGTTATAGGTACATCATGTTTATTATACGTACCCTGTGAAATGATATTATATTAGAAAAATTAATAAATATGTACAGTTAATAAATAGGTAACTTCTTAGAAATTTACATATTTTTAAGACTCACGAGTACCATGTTAACTACATAAACTTAGAGAGTAATTTAATAATAATTTAATAACTTAGAGTAATTTATGAAGTATTAAATTGAAATAGTATGTTTAATTATTTACATTTAAAGTGCGACATGTAAACATAATTTTGTATTATCAATAATTCCTACATTCCCCCATTATTCCGTCGATTAAACAATACAAATGCACATTAATAGGTGAATAAAATTATGCATAAGCATATGAAAATATAGTAAAAAATAGGTGTTATAACATTTATGTATGTACCGATATCAACTATTATTTTTTTAATATAATACAAGGTGTAACAAGGAAATGATTAGGCGTTTAAAAATTATTAGCTCCAGTAAAAGCGGCTACTTTTCATTGGGACACCCTGTATGTTTAAAAAATTTGAGATGAAGAATATAATTACAGATTATGTTCTTCAATTTGTGATACAGACTGTAAAGTACCTACTATTGAATTAATTGTCAAAACTGAAGTTGGAATTCAAGATACCGTTATTGGAAATTATATCATTGTTTCAATTCCAGATCTAAATGATATATAATTTCGCAAAAATTTTGATATTTCGAATAATTCATTTCCATATGAATAAGGTATTCGCATTATTTTTGTACATTACAAACTAGTATTATCTACTGCTTGAAGTGGTTGAGAAAACGATTCCACAGCAGTGATCGTATGTAATTTAAAAATATCATTGCATATAAAAAGCGCCTTAGGAATTATTGTGATTCTCGATGTTTTATAGGTACCGTTCATATTAGCATACGAAGGTATAGTTATTCAAAATTATTAGTTTCATTTTTATAAAAAAGGAAATCAGGTAATATTTAAATTAAAGAAAAATTAAAGGAAGATGTATAAGTGTAAAAGAAACGATATTTCTTATAATTAAGTATAAATTCTTTTCATTACAAAACTTAGATTAGAATTTATAAAAGTAGCTTTCTAAAGTTTTTGTATCAATCACGACTATGTCAGTAAATGTCCGCCATTCCGACCCCTTTTGCAGTATCCAAACAATGAAGGCCGTTATATACATTGCAATATCCTGCAGTAAGGATACGTATCGCAGTTTGGCAAGGTGTTTGAGTTTCAATATGAAGCGAAATAACCATTTAAACCAACGTCCAAGTAGCCAGGCTTCTTCAAATTCATACAGGATGTCGTCAAACACAAACCTCAAGTACTTTTGGCATATTCGATTTAAAATGTGCTTGTTTACCCAAATTGCTTTCTTTTAATATTGCCCAAATTTTTTGGCACTCTGCTATGCTTTTTTTATTACAAGATTAATGCGTACTTTACTCCCGGCGTTCATCAGGAATTAAATAATAAGAATGTCTAGAAGCAGTAAATACTAATACTAACTTGTAGATATTTAAACTAATAGATATTTAGTAACCACAGAAAAATCTAATTAAATTACAGTTTCCATCTTTACCGTATAGGATGCCATTGTTTCTAATTTTATTGATCAGTTCTCAAGACATACTGTATGCAACTTGGGCTGCGAATAAACAAGAACGAGCCCGCTGTATCATAAACATATTATGTAAACAAGGAAACTCGGGGGAAATTATAACACTGCGGTACAGTACATAGAATGGAGCTTTATATTAGTTATATTGTGGGTTTTCAGTATCTAAAATTACTGCGTATATAACAACCGCGACAGGGAATATTATGTGAATAAAAATTACAAATTAATTACGAAAAAATCCATAAATTCATCTATGATTAAATAATACTTCGGTTATTTTTGTATTAATTTCATATTTATTTTTAATCTGTTTAACCCTTGGACCGTGGAAGAAGCTCAGCGTTAAGTCGTTTTAATAGGCAAAACTTCTTAATTAAATTCAGTAGGAAATACAAAAGGATTAAACGGTGTGAGAGTGAGGGCTTTTCGTCGTTTCGTGCACGGCGGTGTAGAATATACAGAATTAGAATTTAGAATTGAGCAAACTTGAATAACGCAGGACCGTCCCTTTTTTTCATTTCGATAACTCTTTGCATTTCCTACTTGCATATGACAGCAGATTAATGGGAGTATCTAGGTACTGAACAGAAGGAAATTATATAGCATCTCTGCAATATTAGAATGAGAATATTAGAAGTCATAAAGGACTTCTTAATTATATTCAGAGAATTTAACATCTCGTATAGAATTGTTATTATCAAGCAGTGTATTTTTAAGATTTGAGATTTTAAAATATGTCCAACCCGTTTCTTTTTCTAAACTTTTCAATTAAGTTTAACAGTTAAGGGATGAATAAAAAATAAATACAAAAATACCGGTCCTGGATGAAGCTGGTGTAGAGCCAGAGGAAGGTGGTGAATGACGGCGACAACGAAACAACGAGCCGAGAAATTGCGACATTAAAGATAACATCGTGCTAAATAGCCGCGGGCCGAATCCCGTTCGTTCGGTGGGATAATAGCATTGGCGCTCTCCTAAATTAACTCCCTTCGACTGCACTAAGCGGTTTGTCTGTCTGTGCCGTGCACTCTGTGTCATTTCAGATTTATTTACACTGCGAAAACGGTATGATATTGATATTTAAATGCGTCAGTCTTTTACGGCTTGAATATTGGAGTCAATATTATGGCGGACTCGCTTAAAATCCTCCACAATTTTTCGAGTAATCTAAAAGTATCAGGAATAAACCGAAAATTTAGCAATTTAGCATTGGGAAGTATACCTGGGTACCTATTTGTTTTCTCAGTCTAAGCGAATTTCCATCTAAATTCCGTATTTTCTTTAGCGACTGGTAACATCCCAGTGATAATGCCGTTGTGACGATGTGGATGTACTTTCATTTGAATAAATCTTGTTATGTTCCAGGCGCTTACTTTATAAATGAATATTATAGAGGATACAACAAAGCTTTATTGCGTCTGTAAAAGGATAACAGTGAGCGAAACCGCGAATGATACGGGAATATTCCTGTCGGATGAAAACGGGATTTTGTTAGCATCTGCGGACTCTATTATCTTTGCAATTTAATCGCTGTTTTCATTCGAAAGTGGTAGATAACTTTACATACAGGTGAATTATATGATGTTTACGTTTGTTAAGCGTGTCCTTTACCAATATAATGCATTAATAAATACCGATTAGTATCCAAAGAATAGCTTCGGGATGAAAGCAATAGGTACCTATACGCACATAAAGATATAGAGTTATCCATCGACAGTAGTTCGTAAGAAGTTTTGTTATGCGACGTAATCAGGAACCAATCAATCCTAATAAAGCACGCTAGTCGACGGCAGTGGGATATTACAAGTTGGGCATCCATTAGAAGGGCTTCCGGCGAGCTCCTGCGTCTTACCTCACTTCCGGAACTTGGCCTCCGGAGCCCGGAATAATTCAGGACCAACTTGCCACTTTAAGCCTTAATGAATAGGTAATTAGTTAATATTGTGCGGGCTTCCTCTTGTCCACGCGCGTACGTACATAGCGACTGTCTTGGGACCCATTAGCCCATGGCCGTTGCCTCAAAACTTGCGCCATTGTTTGCCAAGGAAAGGATTTCAATTGAATTAACTCTAATCAGAGAAGATTATTATAGATCGATGTAGGACCATGTCTTCGACTTATATGCGACCCAAGACAAAAGCTCCGGCTAAATGTTCGGATCTATTTAATATACGTTCGAACTCCCCCTAATCGAAGTATTGTGTTTCATATACATAATCAAATTTCTAATTTAGTTTATTATTAACGCCGATTATTTTTTTAATATCCTCTGTATTTTTGTTAATGACAATGTTTTTCTTTGTTGCAGATTCTTTGGCTCAAGAACTCGAATTGGAGAGGAAGTCGCGTCAACAGCAAGTCGAAAGAGACACAGTTAAGTCACCCTTGCAGGATCGATCTGGTTACTACAAAAATTCAGTAATGTTCACAAGTAGCGCAACATAAGTATAGTAATTAAGAAACTTAAAAGAGTTTTGTACATAAGTACATAGTTAATCGAAATGTTAATAAAAATATTCCTTGAGGAATTATCATATAGGACAAGTGAAGTTTCTCGTAAAGTTAACTGAATACCAGTTAAAAATTAGTATTATGATAACCAGTGAGTATTTTCTAGAAAGCGATTTGAATATGTTTCGACAGCAACTCGACATAATACTTAAACTTCAATCGTGCACAAATTTTTGATAAATAAAATTAAATAGTAGGTACCACTTGTATGTACAGATCGAGTGAAATAGCTGATAAGGTCGAATGCGCAGTGGAAAAACTGCGCAAAGCTCAGCTGGTACTCAGTTAGTAACCTCAAATTGTCACGTTCGCGCATCTCGAGCTTTTGTTACTCTTGTCGCTGTGTAAGTTAATTGAGGCATTCATACGTGATTGCACAAACAGAGGAGTTACTTCAGAAGATGTGTTAAACTCAAGTGAGTACAACTGATACCCTCATAATATTTAACCCCATAAAATATACACTGGAGCATTTTTGAAGAGAAAATTTATTATTTGCATTGTGCTCAATAATTTGTTAAACTGTTTTTTGATTAATTTTTTACGTTAAATTTATTAGGTAGCTATTGAAATCCTCCATTTTTAATTAATAAAATGAATGAATCGGTTACTGGATTTTTTAGAAATCTCTGTTAAAAATGCATATTCGTCTATGCTACTTCGAAAACATAAATGCCTAAATATTGTTTTATTTAATTTTTTAAGACTGAGCAGTTGACTGTTAATTTTAGAAAAATACTAAATTATTTTAATGAATAATATAAACTGTAGGGTATATACGTGGAAACAGATTCATTAAAATGTTTACCTACGTTAATTTAATATTCCTAGTAATTTTATTTTTAGTTAATTTGTATCATATACAGTATTGGTAAAAATTCTGTTAAAATTTTCAATTTTAATAATTGTTATAAACGTTCTTACAAAACGTAATAATGTAGGTAATGAACCTAAATAGAAAGGACAAAAGTTCGTAAACTTTTTCTCATATACCAAACAATTTTTTTTTCAAGTGTATACGTCATTAGACAATCAATGTCGTTATAAATTTGTTCACTTCAATTTCTTTAGTGCAATGTTAATGATCAGTGTGTGCTGAAAACTTTATTTTTTATTTTTTACAGTGCTGTAGGAATAGCTGAAGACGTGACCGGTGCAACCTTCAAAATGCGTATTACGATGCGCATTGGCTATATTTTAGCCGTTATAGTTCGTTTATAATTACCACTATTCCTATTCACTGCAAAGTAATCAAAAATAAGAATCAAATAAAAAACTTTTTACAAAGTTTGATGTTGTATATTTAAATATTTTAATATCCATTGGTCGATTGCATATACACATTCCAAATAATTATAAATTTTCTGTCTACCTATACAAATATTTTCAGCATACATCTTATTCTTATAGGTGATAAAAATACATGTACAGTTGTTCGTTTAGATATAAACATAATAAACACATAGTCCTAAGCACATATTTTCTAACGGCTTGTATACTATTTACAGCAAACTATTCATAATAATCAAATAAATTTCGAAACTTCATGTTAGGGGACATTAATTATAAGCAGTATGCGTGTATTTATGTAAATATTTATGTATGTGTGTGCCTTGTAGTAATTAAAATTGAAAAATCAAATCTACTTTTTTTATCACAAATCTTCATCCCTTTTGGAAATAATACTTTCCTCATGATTTATGACTATTAATTACTCAGACTTTAGAGTAAAAGTTTATTTTTTTGTTTTGTCGTATTTGTAGGTAGACAATGTCAAACAAAAAATAAATCTTTCCCTGACGATTCCAGAAATATTTCAGCATAAAGAAACATTTATGAAAACTGGCTGAAAATCGATTGATTCCATCGAGAATCACTCGAATTCTTCGGGTCAAAAATGTCAGTAGAAATAGAATTTTACAATTTAATTTCGCAATAACGAGAATGACTCGAATCATATTCGGTTCCGTTCTCTCCCACTCCCTTAGAATCGATGTACAACCCCTCTGGAATTCCTAATCTCTGTATCCAAAATTTCATTATATTACTCCAATTTTCGACTGGTCAATCGTTTTCCATTTCGTTAAATTCCAATCAAAAATTTCGCATTGCTTTTTCAAAACCGCATTTTTAACTGGAAATATAAACTTTTCAACCGGTTTTAAAAGGTATAGCATTTATTTATTCTAAGGATAATGATACGACACTAAATATTGAAATATATTTTCATTTTCGACAGAAAAATTTTTATTACCAATATAGTAGTTTAATTGCAATATTGGGTATCTCGTCTGTCGTGATTTCCAACCATTTGACGAAAGAAAACAGAAAATTTGAGGGGACGTTCCGAGCTCTGGATTTAGGGAATGGGAACATATCGAGTGAGATAATCACGAGTTTACGGTTGAAAGTGCTCGTATCTCCCAATAATGATGATGACGGCTCGAGAAAAAGGGCAGAAGAGGGCACAGTTAGTGAACTTTGCCATCACTTTTGGTTTCTAATAACGACTTTCATATGTGATAATTCTTCCTAATAACTTTTTTCTCGCAATAAAGCACTGATAGATGTGTAAAAGCGAGTTCGTTTTCGAAATGGTCGTTTTATTTACTGTATATAGGTGGATATAATTATGACCATAAATTTATACCTATAAACCTTACCATTTTTTTAGGTACATTCACAACATTTAATGTTTATGTGGTTAAGATTCATGCAACGTATGCTGATCATTTATTCATCCAAAAAAATGAATCAAAGTAAATTTCATATTAGTCATATTTCGAGTAAACCAAAACCAGATCAATTGATTAGAACCTTTCCAATAGATTGTTCAAATAGGAGCGCAACCTATAAAAAACCCATCCATCTTCTAGTTAAACTCCCTTTGGATTTCTACGCACATACACATACACTCTGCAGTGTAGTGAGAGATAGATAGATTTCTGATAACTGGATTGCCCGACAATAAAGAAACTGTAGAGATAAGCACAAAAGACAGCTGACAGGCAGTGAAAGATTGCTGGCTGATTTATTTATGTAAGTGAAACTGACCAAATTTTATTTGATGAATTACTCATGAAATGATTACCATAAAAAACGGACCAGCAACGGTTTTATTTTTTATTATATAGCCACCTACGGGATGTTCCAATTTTATATGTATTAATTTAATAGTATATAGGTTCTTGCTGTCATCAATAAAAAAATACTTAAATGTAGACAATTCAACATACTTCGATATCACTGGCAGTGTATATGTAAGTATATTTTTTTTAAATAATACAATTATTTTCATTGACCGTAACATATGCATGTGTGATACACTCCGAACACTCTGTAGGTTATTAAAAATTAATTTTTTTATCGAAAAACTAAGTCTATCCAAATTTACATACAATATAACAATAAAGAGTGATTGGTCAACGAATATTGCATGTAGAAAAATCGAGGTCAAGAGTTCTTAAGCTAATATCGTTCCCATAGACATTCAACCCCGAGAAAAGGCCTCCTCCTTGTCTTGTACTCCCCCAAGAGATTATGAATACAAACATTACATACATACAGCGTTTTACGTTCTCAAAGGCAGAGCTCGCTTCCTTCGAGCGGAAGGCCTTTATTGAAGTTATGAAAAGCTATAAACTGAAGTTATTGAATGGATCTTTCGACGTTTTTACTCTCTGAAGATGTAAGTACAAAGTGGTCCGACTCGAAAAAATACATACAAACATTCCTAAACAGTTTCAATCAAAATTCCTTTTTATCTTTTTTTTCTTCTTCTCGTTTGCAATTTTTAATAGTAGATATTGTTATATTTTGAGGTAACTGTTTTCCTTACCAGGAGAAAACCTTACAAGACACTATAGTTGACTAAAATACTATTTAAATTCCTTATTTCATTTTATTTGCACTCACAAATACAATATTAACTAAACGTCTCCTTCTCACAATTTCCCTTCCTTGATGCGCTGAAATAATTTATTGTCCGTAATAAATGGTTCCCCTCTTCTGTTTCTTGCAAGGTGGTTTGCTTGTGCTTAACACTCTACTAAAATTATTTATTTCCTCTATATTTCGAACGCCACAACGGCGAAATCTAGCTATTAAAGTAATTTATTTGACTTTAAATACACGCATATGTACAGGTGTTAGGTAAAACGACGACAATTAGATACGCAATTTAAATAAATTACCGAATGGAATGTTTGTTGATGGACTATTTTTGGATTTCTTTAGGCTGTTTGCTGAAATATTATTAGGAATAGAAGAGATGATTCTTCTATGGAAATTATTGTAGGGTCATTAATACATTATGTATATAATATTATATCTACTAATTTATTCATAAAATTAATTCTTTGACTAAAGTAGGTAGGTATATCAAATTCAGCAAACTTCTCACAAATTTGCATAAATATAATTGTTTTATTAGGTACCTAATATCATAACATTCAGCATATTATATATTTCTTCCTGTGAATACGAAAATGCGGTATATTTTTGTATAAATATCTCCATTAAATATTCATTATAAACTTACAGTTGGAAACACGCGAAACACAAACACCGGAAACTTAGCTTTTCCACTGGGTTACGAGCCTCCAAATCCTAATTCAAATTCCCGTTTATTCTAGGAAATAGTTAAACAAGACAAATACAAATAATTTAATGGGGGGTATTAGATATGGATGAAAGCGTTCCCTTCGAAGTGGCCGATGTGTATTCAGAAAGCAATGAATTGAGTAACTAAGTATTCAATCCGGAAACCGCTAGAAGTGTTAAGCATCCATTTAGGCTAAGTCTGATTCCATTATCTGCCCCTTCAAAGATTTCACCCTTTTCTTCTTAGTTCCGAATGCTCAGGAACGGACTAAAATTGTATATTCAGCTCTTATGTATATTTCAATATCGTTAGGAATAAAAAATAAAAATCAAAATGCACTTTTTAATCTATAAATAAGAACACTATTTTAAAGTTGTTATCTAAAGTAAAAATATTTTTATGCGAAACAAGTAAAAAATTCTTAGTACCTTTTTCTATGTCTTTACTAATTTCAAAAAAAAATAATTGCAATATTTTTTAATTTGCTAAAATATTGCCTGTGAAAGTACTTATTTGAAATAATTAAAGTCGGTCCTGCACTTGTTGGAAATGCGAGGACAAACAGGGCTTCCTCTAGATTATTTCCTTTTTGTTTTCTCCATTGCCATCAGTCGAAACGAGCAATTACAGGCAACGAAAAATTAATTAATAATTATATTTTACCCTCCCGTCGATATTAAATGAGTTTTCGAATTCAAATATTATAACTAAATATTAAAATTGAATTTGCTACTTATAAGGTAATTCACATAATATTTGTAAGGACAATAACCCTTGGAGAAAACTTTTTCATCAATGTCTTATTTTTAAAAAGAAATAAGAAAATTGTAGGTGATAATTACCGTTTTTACAATATTTCTCGACTTAAACATTACTATAGTTTCCTTATAAAATTCATCCATTCATTAACACCCTATATAATATAATTTTGGTAAGAACGCAAAAAATTAAAATTGCTGTAATACTAATATGCCTCGTTTGTGTTAATTCAAATCCTTCATAATCTGTTGTTATCAAAACTCGTTTCGAATGTTACTTATTCATTGTCAGCTTACTTCAAAGGGAATTAGAATAACTTTGCGTTTAAGATTTACCCTTTTCTCCTTCTATTCGGGCAAATTTAATGTGTCCCGAATGGAATTTAAATTCAGAATGGAAATCCATAAGTCGCCGGATTAGGTTTATTTAAGAATAACAAAACATTAATTGAAATGGAAATTTGATTTTCCAAAAGGTGTTGGATTAGATTAGCCGCACTTTCTCCTAAGGGAAAGTTAAAATGTTTTCATATGTTCGTCACGTATGACGTAGATATGAATAGATATATTTTTCTTAACATAATTAAGGAAATGTGTTGTTAGTGATTTGAGTATTCCAGAAATTGAAGTCTTTAGAAAGATTTCTTACCTATTTACATTTAGAAAAATAATAAATTTCCAGAAATAATTATACTATAGGTAGTAAATTAAAAACTGAGCATCCTTACTAACAGCATTTTTCTTCTGTATAGAACCATTTTTTTATGTAATAAAAAAATATAATTTATCGGTTTCTTACGCCCATGGACCCTTTCCAAAATCATTCCACTATTAAAATTTTAAATCGTCTAATATGACAATTTCGAGATGGCTTATCGTACACCCAGATGTGGGATCTTTTATGTTATTTTTTCCTTGTGCCTTTAATAAAAAGCCTCAGTAGATCTAAAAGCATAATTATATATAATTTTCGATGAAGGTTGTTATCAATGGTTTGAATCGATTTGATTTCGGGGTTGGATATATTCTACTTATGCATTTTATTTTTGATGGATCGATGACTGATATTCCTCTTCTGGGAAAGTCGGCCAAACAAGTAATCGCTTTGTAATTTAATAGACTGCTGAGAATGCAAGTTTATTCTGATAGATACAAAAAAATAGAGGCCTAAAATATATTAATAAAAATATATTTAAGTCTTGTATATTGCTAGGTGTAAGTACAGTTATCATTTTTTAAGAACTTCTTGTACGTGCCCGATGATATTAGTAGCGTCGATTTTGTAATAGTTCAATAAGTCCGCGGGCTTTCCGGATCGCGGCACTCGCGGTATGGCGACGTGCTTGACGTATATGTTCCTTTCTTCGGCAACGGCCGATAATACGGCTTCCCCGATGCCTCCTTCGGGGTAATGATCTTCCACGACCAATATCCTGCCGCCGACGGCCTGCGCGTTTTGAATGATGCTAAATTTGTCGATCGGTTTGATGGTGAAGGGGTCCATGACACGAATACCGATTCCAGATTTGGCGAGTTCGTTAGCCGCTATGAGAGATTCGTGAAGGGTTATGCCCGCCGCTATTACCAACACTTGGTCGTTGTTTGTCGAGAAAACAACATTGGCTTTGCCGATCTAAAATAAATTTAAAAAATTATGTCTCCTACTATATCCTCAAAGGTGGACTGTACAATTTATTTGGCTATACTTATGATGGAAACTTACTTGGAAAATTTGATCGTTTGAGTAAAATACTGCAGTGGGCGCCCTAGCCGTACGAATGAAGGTGATGCCCTTGGTGTTAGCCGCGAGTTCGACGGCTCTTTCGGTTGCCACCACATCGGATGGGTAGAATACAGTGCTGCCTGGGATCGATCTGAACATGGCGATGTCTTCCAAGGCCATTTGGCTGGGGCCGTCCTCGCCAATGGACACTCCGCAGTGAGAACCGCAAATGTTGATGTTTGATTGGGAAATAGCTCCCATACGGATCTAAAAAACCATGGTTAACTATTGCGTTACTTAGTGTAAAACGCGCGAAACCTTACCTGATCGAAAGCCCTGGTGAAGAAGGCAGCGAAGGTGGAGAGGAAAACGATGGTGCGGTCCCTGCAGGCTGCTCCGATACCGGCACCGACGAGGTTTTGTTCGGCGATGTAACATTCGACGTAATTGGCTGGTCCATTCTTCTTCGCAGCTTCTGAGAATGTGGAGTTGCTCATGTCGCCGTCGAAGGCCAGGATCCTTGAATTGGAGGCTAGCAATTTGGTCAAAGCCTTGCCGTAGGCGGCTCTAGTGGCTAATAATTCTCCTTGTTTGTAAGACGGAGGAGAAGAGAGCCTGACGTTGGAAATGTCTACTGGCTTCACTTCAGAGAGAGGTGAAGGAATGTTGTATTTCAGTTGGCCTGTGTTCTTTATTAGTGACCTGAGGTGTTTCAACACTTTTTCAGTGTTGGCACCCAAAGGTTTACCGTGCCAGTTTTCTTGGTCTTCGATCTCCGGGAAATCTCTACCCTGTAATTAATTTATTTGTTTATACATTTATAGTTAAAACGTACAAATGTTTTCGTACTTTGAATGTTTTGGCTACAATCACAGTGGGTTTCTGTTTGACTGTATTCGCGTTTTCGAAAGCTTGTACCAAAGCTTCCACGTTGTGGCCATCAACTACTACCGTATTGAAATCGAAAGCGTCCAATCTTCTCTTGTACATGTCAACATCATGCGCAAGCATGGTAGGACCGGTTTGTCCAAGACGATTTACATCGATGATTAGCACTAAATTGTCCAGTTTGTAGTAGCTCGCGAACGCAATCGATTCCCAAATGGAACCTTCGGCGCTCTCACCGTCTCCAATCAAACAGTAAACTCTGAAATACAAGAAATGAGCATTAGATTAAGAAATTGCCCACACCTACACCGATGACTTACTTGTAGTTAGCCCTGTCGACGAACTTCCCCACGTAAGCCATACCAGCGGCTACAGCGAGTCCTTGACCAAGAGAACCGGTACCTACGTCAATGAAATTCAGCCTGGGCGTCGGGTGACCTTCGAGGTCGGTTCCTAGCTGTCTAAGTTTTTTGAGTTCCTCTGCCGGAATCAGGCCGTTCTCCACCCAAGCGGCGTATAGAGCCGGACATGCGTGGCCTTTGGACAGGACGAAGCGATCGCTGGATGGATCCCTCGGGGCGGATACTTTGTAACGCATCGTCCTGAAGAAGAGCACCGAGAGGATCTCGGCGATCGAAGAGGAGGACGATGGGTGACTGTTGGTTAAAGCAGAATATGTTATATTCAATGAGTCTGGCTAATAAGTACCACTTTTAAAAGAAGAAGCAGAAGGGGGATGCAAATGTTTGTGGTAAATTTATTTTATTCTATCTAGTTGAAAAGAAATACCTAGCATTAGATTACATTTTATGTTCTTATAATTTGGAATACTAGCATCCTGTACCAAAGAAATATTTCTTTAAACCATCAATATACTGCAATATCAAGGTATCTAACCTTGACTTCTCTTCTTAAACTTCTTAAGAACAAATTTAATAAATTCACGAATAATAGCTGTCATTATAATACTCGCCGTGTACATATTATAAAAATTATTATTCTTGACAACCAACAAAAATCAACAATATTATTTTTTAAACATATTCTAAACAAAATTTAAATAGCCGTTTATCTCGTTCAGCTATATAACATTAAGTAATCATGGATATAATGCAATTTAATGAGATTATTCTTATGTAATAAAAATTATAAGTGGTATAAACGTATAGTAAACCACGTTCACCGCAGCTGATAAATCGTGTACTTCACGTTTTTATTTAAAAAAAAATTCTTATGCGATAAACAGATTTTTAATATTTTAGCGCACTGAAAAAAATGAGTTTGCGATAATAACAAAAAAGTATTAGTTGGAAACTTTTAGTTAGTTGGGCAAATATTTCATTTTTAATCACAAATACACTATTTAAAACAACAACACAGTTTTGCTCTATACATGAACAGATTTTAGTTGATATTTGTTAGTTATAAACACAAAATATATGTTAAGGTAACAAACAGTCTAATTTCGAATAACTAAACTAATCGAAACAGCTGGAACTATATATATTTGTCGCCAAAACAGAAATAATGATTTTGTTTAGGAAATTTTTTTACTTCTCACAACATTTTTCCCAAAAAAATTGTTATTTAAGACATGGACATTTTCACAGAGTTGTTTAGAGAATGATATAAAAATAAAAAAATAAAAATCGACGGGTCTCAGCGTTTTTAGAAAAAAAAATTCTAACGAAAATACGAATTCTATGCAGAACTTTTTTACCACACTGTATGTATACCTAATTCGAAAAATATCCGTCAGGAAAATTCCTGGTTTTATCAAATTTTGTCTTTATAAGGTCTTCTTAATTTCACTGAATTCATACCGCCCTTTTAGACTATTTTTTTTTATGATAAAAAGGTGAGATTTTTTATTTTCAAATTTAAATAAACAAAAATAACGAAGCGATAGGTACGCAATCAGCGAGACAGCGAAAAAAAATCACCCCTTCCAGGCCTAACTTCAGGCATACAACATACAACAGATTTTTAAAAACAGTCTGTCCTTTATTTTTGCGCTTCTCAGCGTGAGAAAGACAGATTTTTTAAGTTAACTTCAAGCTTCAAGGTGAAATGTCTGGATGCGCGAGGCTTTCCGACTTCCGCGATCCGCAACCGCGACGCGTTCCTCGTCCTCTCGTTCCTCGTTTCTCGCTCCTCGATGGCGAAACCAAACCGAAACTTTTCCTCTGAAAGTTTTTGCATTTAGCTTCTTTTGGCATTTAAAATATGGGAGTATTATTAGTGATGCGACTAACTTAGTACACGTATTTACGTTGATTATATTTATATTGCTCGTACAAGTGTTTGTAATTTATGTTTTGAAATTAAATCGGAGTTCGGAAGTGAATAATGGAGGCTGAGTTGAGGGACATTTTAGAAGAATGGGGTTTTTCGGGATTAATTCCTTTATTTGAAGGTAAGTTTACTCATTTATTGTATTATTACTGATGGAAATGTTTTGCATTTTCTCTATAAGTTCATTTATTTCTATAATTTTCTGATGATTGTGGTTATTTTTGATTAAGTATATAAATGAAATTCGTTTACAAGGATTTGAGTACTGTTGCATCAGCCATTTTGACCGATGCCGTACTCGTGCCCGTCTGTACGTGGTGCTGCTTTTATTTATTATATTGTAGAATTGTTTATTGATTTCCAGTTGATTTCTTCTAAATTAATATGGTACTTGCTTGAAAATTAGTTTGTAATTTTTTATTTTGTTTCAGGATATATATTTTAACGTTTCCTACAAAAAAGTAGGAAAAGGGGCAATTCGAAAAATGGGAGGGGGAAAATTGTTTCGAAAGTATTATAATTTACGAAGAGATTTTAAAACGAATGGTTTACTAAGAAGTAAGGCTTGTAGAAGAACTGCAGATGCGGCAAAAAAACCAATAACTAAAGCTGAACAAGAAGTACTTGAATGGCTTAAAAACAATGCTGCTCCATGGCAAGAGTTAGAAGCAAAATGGGCGGAAACGTATGAAGCAAGAAAATCGTATTTTATGGATGTTAATTCCATTCACGATTATATGAAAACATTTAAAGGGCTTAATGAACCATTGGGTTATGTCCTGGTAAGCGCCATATTATTTAATATGAGATAACCGTTTAAATTTAAAAATTTTAGCTTGAATACGACTTTGCAACTCAATATCCATACTTAAACAATCGACTATTGACAGCGTGGCCTGAATTCTCAAAGAAAATAAGTAAATATGCTTCTACATTGAAAATAGCTGAAGTAGATGAATGCTTAAATTTCTTCGACAACGATAATTTATCAGAAGGTAATATACGAGATGTATATAATATATATATATCCTCAATATTAATTAATATTCTATAAATTATTTTTAGATTCAAAAACAATGATCGTTTTGAAAATATTAAGCTATTTGATAAAACCAGTTCTAGTGGTTAAGAAGAAGAATAAGAGTTCCTTTAAACCGTCAAGAATAGAAATGTTGGATGGATTAATTTTACACGTTACAGTAAGTAATTACTTTCTTATTTGTCTAAAATCAGTAATTCAAATTACTTTTTTAACTTAATTTATTCAAAGTAATATGGTTGGGTGGTACAGGTTTAGGCACATATTGAATTAGTCCTGATTATATCGTTGTAATTAGTGAATGTAATCATTAATATTATTAATTCATAATTTTTAATTTTAGGCTGGTGCTGATATACATGCCTCACTAGAACGAAAAAGAGCCTAACTTATGAGCTTCAGACTTCAATCGCAACCTATCCCAATAGCGTGTGGAGAGGATATCAAAAATCTCTACTCATTTTATAAATCTGTAGACGATTATTTGTACTATGTCCCAACGTTGTTAAAAGCAATTGAAGGGACTTTCAAAATTATTCATATGTTGAACGCAGAATATCCGTCAGAAGCTGAGCCTTTGTGGTTAATTATCCAAAGAGGGATCTTTGGTTTAGAAACGAAATTTGACAAATCGTATTCCGATGTTAATGTCATCTTGAGCATCCTAGCTGCCTAATGAGGTAACATTTCAAGTTTTTGAGATTTTAAACCTAAATTTCACCATTTAACTCATTACCCGCGAATCATGAAATTGGTTGGACCTTTAAATAATATGCATTAGATATGAATAAAAACATAAAGAATTTAAAAACACAGCTAACGTCACATTTTGCATAAAAAGTCTCATAAAATCTTTAGCTTTGAAGCATCAATTAAAAGTTCATTACAGACTTTTAACTAGTAATATTTCATTTGTCAGTAATATTGAATGTGCAGATTGTGATTTTTACTTATTTGAAGACCTTCATGTAACCTGTTCATTTCATGTAAATTATAAAGAATTGAATATGTTTTTAGAAAATTCTGAAGAAGTAAGCATTCCAAATTGGATGAAAATTAATTCATGTTTTTATAAAAAAAAACTTTTTTATTCAAGTGAAGCATATTGATTTGTTACCACAATTTGGGTTTATTAGAGATATATTTTACACTTCACAAAAGACAATATACTTTCAGATTAATGAACTTGTAACCATTTGCTTTAATCAATATTTTTTGCATATGAAGTGCGTAGAACTGATACTGTTAAAATTATACCTTATGCCGATTTGGATTGCTTAAATACATTACTATTTAATGTTTCATCTCAGGGAATATTATTTGTTGCGGAACGTTAGTTTTTGCTTTTGTTTAATTTTTGATGTTTGGAGTTCGATTTATGTCTCACGAACATTTCGTCTCATGAATTATTATTTGTTTTAGGTACTTTTAGGTTTACTTTACTTTTAAGTTGTTTTAGGTACTTCTGGGCACTAGAACGGTACTTTTATTTTTTTTTTATTTTGTTTTCAGTTACTACTAGTACTCAGTTAGTTATTGTACCTATAATTATTTTTAGTATTGTTGAATAAAAATATTACTTATACTAACAAATGCGTGATTTGATTTCGCTTACCCAGAAATTTTGTTCGACAAACTACAATTTTTAGTTCAAATTTTTACAAAAATTTGTCTTTTAAACTAAAAATTTTGTTGAAATTAATATTGAAGTTTTTGTTATTGAAACAAAATTAATTTTTTTGGAACTAAAAAGATTTGTTGAAATTTGAGTAAAAGGTTGTTCGACAAACTACAACAGTTTGTTGAAATTATTATAAAAATTTGTCTTATAGACTAAAAAATAAGTTGAAATAAGAATTAAAAAGTGTTACATAAACTAATATGTTTGTTATCCCAACTAAATTAATTTGTTTATCCCAGTATTAAAATTTTTAATAAAAGTTATTACGTTAGTTAATTAAGAAAAAAAAATAGTTTGTAAGAACTAATTTTTTTTGTTACAGTTACAACACAAACTTAACTAATCCTTGTTTGTTAATGTAACTAAATTTTCAGTTGGCGCTATATTTAATAACAAAATTAGTTGTTACCAATAAATTTTTGTTTACTGTGACAAAAAATTTTTTAGAGAGCGATATAATTTTATTGTTGATAAGAAAAAAAAAAACTAAATGATATAATACTTCTGTGCTATACCTAATTAGCTAATTCAATTAAATTATGACTTTCATTTTTTTTATCAAGGACTTTATAAATACTTTAGAAGTTTCAAAAACCATTATGTACGGTAACTCAATGATAACTAAAAATTCATAGTTTTTTAACTGGTTGTTGATGTATTCAAAATAGTTCAATTAACTTGCTCAACTGCCCTACTAACCAAAATAATTCACTAGGTAGGTAATCCATATGGATATTGTTTATAGCTTATTAGTCTTGTCCGCTATCTTACTTGCAAGCTATTCTAACTTCATAAAAATTTCACCTAATCGCCACATTGAGAAAATCAAACGTTCAAACTTACCCGGAGTTGGCGGCCGCCGTGCATTCTACGCTGTGTATCCTAATCTTGGTCGCAAGGTCCCTAAGGGTCTGCAAATCTGTCGGTGGAGTCGCCATTTTGATTATTCGATGACTTCCGCACTGCAGGTCACTATAAAAGTGAAGGTGCGTTCCAAGATCATTCACTTAAATAATCCTTATCGTTTGATAACGGTTCTAATCTGTATTGTTAGTTGGTTCACTGTTTGTTGAAGTGAAATAAAAGTACAACTGGAAAGGTTATCATTGCGTGATAAGTTTTATTTATAACTCGTAAACTATTTGGGATGGTGTTAGGCAATAGGTGAACGAAATTGTTAATTGGAAAGGAAATGTAGGAAATTTTTCGAAAGGTTTTATGAACTTTTTAAATATTACATTTTGAGAATGGAATGTTGTGAAAGTGGTGATAAATGATAAGGAAGAATAATTTAGATAATGAGATAAGTGGCAGGTCGATTTAGATAAATTTATACAACACTAATGATATTAACTAAAATATGTCAGATATTAAGAATATTTAGTAGTGTTTGCAAATGCAGGATAATAAGGCGAATACTGTCAGTGTTTTCTGCATTCTGATCAACTGTGTCACCTTATACTTAATTATTCAGTGATATCCTTACCGGTGTAACAAGTTAAACTTACCTACCTATCCAGCACATAAATGAATACTCAAGCATTATTTGAATTTATAATTCGTTATTTCATTTATGTAATTTAGTTAAAAATGCTTATAAATGTAGAATTTAAACACCAAACAATTATAAAACGTTTTTGCCTCTTTTGAAATAAAGAAATTATGAGAGTGCGATAGGCACCCTGGGACACCCGCGGTATAGACTTTTATTTAGTTAATCTGATAATAATTGAATTAGTTAAAATACCTAAAAATACATAAGTGGGTATGTGTTAAATTGCATATAAGATACCACAGAATATGTGAATAAACTCACAAAATATTTTACCAAAGGTCTTCATCCCCTTATATAAAGGACAAATATCACTACAAAATTTTGTCGATTTTCTTAATAAAAAATCAAATTTATAGTAACTCTATCCAGGAAGACTTGATGACAAAGATATCAATTATTATCAATTTAACACCGAGTTAATTTTGCTTATTAACTGCATCCCTCATGAGATAGAACGGTCTCATCTCGGTTTCAGATACAGTGTCACTAGCATTTCTGAATGAATTATTATCTGCAACATAAAAAACATACCCCGGAATAGAAATATAATCATGACAAAGACTGACGTATTATGATATTCCCTCATGAGGTTTGCTAGAAATAGGGGGTTTGACCAATAGCCGATACCAATAGACTCATTGGACCAGTGGCAGAACATCTTAATGTTAGATGATAAAACCGATGATTTTTTATCAAATTCGAAATGTTAATTGTAAATTGTATTTATTGTACAAAAAAGTTAGATAGGTATTTATATTTTTGGTTAATTAGACTTTTTATAAATAGTAAATTATTTATTCGATTTATTGTAGAAACTTTCGATAAAGTTATCACTTGTTACTTCTTAACGAAGAATGCCATGGATATTAATTTAGAGAGTTTAGTTATAACATAAATATTGACATCATACTCCTCTAATTAAATAAGAATTATTAGTAACTCATCTCTATAACTTATCTACAACTTATCTCTATAACTTTTAAATTTGAACTGCAAATTTTCTGATATCCAATCACATTTTGGAATTTCATCGTTTAATTTAATAAATGGTACCTAATCAATTTTCCACATAACAGTCCCAGACAACATATTTAGCTGTGTAGGTTATAGTTACATACAATTTTATTGTTAATTATTTGATTTAAACGAATTATACGGTTACACCACTGGATTCTTTCCTGGCTATCTGGTCTGCCGACCGCGGACGATGTATCGGTCCCTTGTGGCTTTCATTTTTCAATATCCTAAAACGTTTCGGATATATAAAATTGACCGAAAAGGCTATCGATACTTACGTGTCTGACTATCGCCGACTTTGTTTGCATATTACTTTTTTTGTTTGCGATATATACAGGGTAATCGCGTAAATTCTTCTTAAATGTCCATTTTATTAAAACCGATCAAACGAACTTACTATTCATAACTGATCAAATTAATTTATTGTTCGTGAATGAGCTGGACGAAAATGTAATTATAATAGGTTTGATCCATTTAAATATAGTGATGGATCAACTACTTTTAATTAGATTAAATTTTAATTAAAATCTTGATAAGAAACGAAAGTTTATAATCAATCCAATTAGTTATTTAAAACATATTTGAATTCAAGGCATGGTGTTCGAATTCAAAACGTGTAGACACACAGTAAATAATTGCGCATTTCAGTGTAATAACAATTTGAACATGTTCACAGTTATTAACGTAACGGTACACGATCCCCTTTGCGGTTTTTGCATTCGAAAAATTAAGTCGACTTTATTGTTGTAACTATGGTTGTTAGTTTTATAATAGTCGTCTAATTGGTATAATTTTGAACTTATCGCGTATTACGTGACTGTTTTTCTTAATATCTTCAACAGTATAAAAATCAAATTAGTTTTTAATGAGAACACTATCGTGCGAGAGCAATTTTTGTTGGCAAACGTGCTAAATTGAGCCGGGTTTTATTTAGTTTAAATTCGACTCAATATCTTCTGTTAATTTATAATTAATTAATTCATTGGTTTAGATTTTCAGGAACTTTATGTTGTGTGTTGCAAATCATTAATAACGAGAAAAGGCATTACTTACCTACCTACTAAAACGCGAGAAAATTCAACCAAGAATATACAAGATGAATAACGCGGATAGGTTTATCGGTGTTTCAGTCTTATTTAACATAACATTTTTAAAGGGATCCATCGCACAAAAGATTAATCAATTCGCTCTTGAATTGTATCAAAACATATTCCGAGATACGGCCGCCGAAAACCGAAAAACTGAAAAATAAATCACGAGAGTGGAATCCATTACGAACGCTGAATTAACGTCATCTTGAAAAGAATTAAACGAATGGAATTAATTATAAGATTGATGGATTTCTGAAATCTTTATGAGCCATCCACCAGCACCGCTCGCGCTCTTCCGCACAAGCGATGGTAGTTTTAAGATTTGCTCTTAATCACCCGAATTTATTCTCATTCCGGTTTTTTTATAATCGAATAATCAATAAGTCTGTTTTCGACCCCTCTTCGCCATGCAGCGCAGATATTCTAATAAAATCGGAAATTGGTAATTCATTTAGCGGTGTTTTACTTTTAACGCGAGTGTAATTTTGTTGTATTATGTGGATTTTAATTCGTTTATTCACGCGTTTTTGAAAAAGTTAGTAAATATTTCGATATTGTTTCTATCTTATTTATTTTCGTTTGGACAGATATGGCAAGAAACGCCAATGGTAATTGATCAAATTTGGTAAACTTTATCGTTTTCATCCATAATTTTACAATAAGACCATCCAAAATGGTTTTCTAATCTTTTTTAAATTATGCGCAGTTCAAATAAAACATAATTTCTGATAATGGACCTTCATAGTAGTCCAATTTCGCTTCCGAGGGGATCAAAAAAACATTATAAGAAGTTTCTATAACTTTTCGGTGGAAATAATCAAAGCTAAATGGCTGCGAGGCATTTGTAATTTCGGTCAGGTTCTCTTCTCTTTATAGTTTGTACGGAATCTTTGGTAAACGCAGAATTTGATATAAATCAAAATTAATTATTATACCGATATACTATTACATAATATACCGACTTACTTATTTCCATAACTGACTGTCCCAGGTAAATCAACTCTCTTTTTTTTAATTCGACTGATGTCTTGGGTAGATAATTGACTCTCTTGAGTAGATATTTGACTCTCCTGATCAGAAAATTGAGTCTTTCTCGAAGATATTCGACTCACTCTTTTAAATAATTGACTATCTTCTGTAGACAATTGACTGTTTTGAGCACACGCGACATTTCTCCTGGGTTTATAAGAGAAACCTTTAGAAAGATAATTGACCAGATTAAAAATTAGAAACTTTGACATCTTGAATAGATTGGATATAAATAATGAATATATCGATAAATGATCAAAATGAAATTAGTATTTTTAAAAGTGACATGACATTAGACAATATTCTATTTCTTGCACATTTTTGAAAGGTGTCAATATGCTTTTAAAATTAACACCAAAATTTTCAAACTTTCCCGATGACTAACAATATTTAAGTTCAACATTATTATTAATTTTAATTTCCATGTACATATATCATCACTCAATGCATCCTGAAGAACATAATTTCTCGACGAGTTTTGTTCGAATCGTTTCCTCTTTTGAAAGAAAGTTAAACATCAAATCACGACCCGTAAAATTCGCTCTCGGAAACTTTTCAAAGAAAACATAGAAAACCGATAAACAAAAATTCGATTAAGATACAAAAGCGCGCACGTCTATTTTTCCCATGATGATTTCCAAAACTCATTTTTTAAACATTAGACAGACAGATTTAAATCTGGTTCCATTAGATGAGAAACTCGTGCACAATAAGAGGGGTAGCAGCCACCCTGTCAACGGTATAATATTGCGAAACCGTGAGTTTGCACATTTCGTAGTTTTTACCGACCGAAACATTGTAATTCAATGATATTATTGTCCTTGGGATAAATAAAAAACTGTTAACACTCACAATGGAAATGTAGAGTCATTGCTACTGTTTTTTCGATAGTATTGTTTTCGGTGGAGCGGCACTTGGGGAAGGAAATGCCGGCTAAAATGAAATTGAACTATTAGAAAACAGCGGGGAATTGAGGGTGGTTGTTTCACATAAAAAAGGGTAAGGGAGTATTATTTGGGTTTGTTAAATGGGTATTTTTCTATTACTTACGGTCAGTTATTAGTTGTAAATTTCATATAATGAAAACTGATAGCTACCCATTAATTGTATTTCAGAATTTATAGATCTGTAAAATAAACGAAATTGGTTATGAAATTTTAGAGTGCTTAAAATAATTTGAGTACCTACCTACCTATAATAATATAAAGTCTTAATAAATAATTCACTAGGTAGGGATATAGAGATTAGAAGTATGAATATAATCAAAAGTATTATCTTTATAAGAAAAATTTCTCTTGTAAACTTGTCGCATTTCTAGTAATGTAAATTGTATTTAATAGGTAGAAGAAGTGTTGTTACGCCCCTGTCGTTTCTAATGTAATATCAAAAGGCCA